AGCTAATGGATAATCCCAACGGGGCGTCTGCACGCAAGCTTTACTGAATATTATCTAAAGGGGTCGCGCCCACTTTGAGACAGCGTTTTGGCGTTGCAATCCGTGAATTGATTTAGATTTAGGTGAAGGATAACCGAAGAATACAATTATATTAATTCGACGCTTTCTGTTTATTCGGGCCGAAGGAACTGTCCTTGTTGCGTACAGTTTTAATGTAGATTTGAACGAGGGAGGAATACTAAAAGAGACTTTTCCTTTGAAAGAGAATCAGCCTGTATACTATATGAATCGGGAGCAACAATTTGCGTGTTTTCGATCAATAAACGCGTGGCAAACTTACAAAGGATCAGCCAAATTTCAGATCCAATATTTCGCGATAATTGGATCAAACATACTAAGCTTTACACCAATGCCTACCGAACCCTGCATTAGTAATTATTATAAAGCTGATTAAGATGCGAGGGGCGATATTTATGTTCAAAACGCGATTATCACCCTTTACGGCCCTTATAAAAGATCATTAGGTAAGTTGGCCACGTGCCCACGCTTCCTTGACAATTTCTTTCGTTTCGCCTCTTGAGGAACGAGAGAGAGCTAAGGGGGTATGAGGCAGAATGCGTAAAATGAGACTATTGGGCTTAATTAAGAGGTTATTCTTCAGCCAATGAACTTAATATGAATTAGTCAAACGATTTTATACGAATAGATCTAGGTGGGTAGCGAGAACCGGGATCCTGCACAAATACAAGCCGCAATGGCTTTTGGTTAATTTGAAGTAAATGAAATCGCTCAAAATTATCGCGTGCAAATTCAAAAAAAAATGAGTTTCTGACCCGACAAGTTCTTACTGTTTCCCCTAAAAAAACGTTTAAAATGGGTTTTAATGTTAGTTTTTTTCGGATCTAAAGAGTAAACTTTCTTGCGCCAGTTCAGGTATCGGTCATAATGCCTCAACAATACACAAATCCATACATTTTCATCACAAGATCGCAATTAATGGGGCAAACTTAGCAAGTAACAGACCTAAATACCTCTATTCTGGACTCAAAATCGACTCGTTCCAACTCGAAAAACACGCATATTAAATATGTCTAATCGAGACTTGAATCCAATCGATCTGTAAAGTCCTGCTGACTGCAACTGGAAGAAAATAATGTGCACTGACAGAGACATAGTGTGTCATTTGTTCCAATATCCAGATCTGCACTAACAAGGTCTTAATTTTATAGATGGATAGACGATCCCAATGCGGCGAAAAATCCATCCGGTTGACAGATCAGCTCGAGTAAATCCGAACGCGAAATCCGATACGTAATTACTGCATGGGAAATTCGAATTTCCATTTCTGGGTAACAACAACCTCTTCGGATCTGGGAAGCGTTTGAAAAAATAATTTTTTTTTTTAGTTTTTAGTTCCCAACTTTCTCCGCCCATAGATCCTTATTACTTTGTGCAAAAAACTCAAGTCGCCCTAAATGTCTCAAGTTGTACAGTATTTACATCGAATGGAAGTGAGGAATGCACCCAGTGCAAAGATAAACCTGCTATAGCGCGATAAACCGAAATAACTACAAAAATTGGGCAATTTTGAGCGCTTTTTAAGCAGTTCCGATCTTTAACTGCCTATACCTTTTTCTGATCATAAATAAAAAAATATATACCTACAGAGTCTCGATTAGTCATTTCTGCCTCTTTCAGTCGCTTTCAGTAACCTCCCAACATTTCAGCCTACAGCCAAAAGATTTTCTTCTGAGACCCGATTTAAATCACTGTGTTGTTCAACACCATGAAAAATGCTTCATAAATTTCGTTCTCTACCACCACTCCTGACCGTGCCGTCACTGGTTTCAGACCCTACACAGTTTATTTCTCGGAAAATTCTCATTAGTTACGACCTCATTATTTTTAATTTTCAGCTTTGCGCTAAGCAAAAAAATCGCCCTGTTACAAGAGAGAAGTGTTAAGCGCGATATTATTTATTACTGTTACAGGCTGTTACACATACCATTTTCCGCGCCGTTTTCTTTTAACAGTTTTTTCAGCAAGGAAACGCCATCAAAAGGGAAATTAGAACGGAATTATGCGCCGCTTAGTGTTGTTCGTTTGGATTTTCAGGCCGTAAATGTGCCAAGAGCTGGGCTCGAAGCCATTCAGCAGCCGAGTTTTCTATGCAAAGAACCGGATAATGTGTGAAGGACTTTGAGCTGCTCAGTTTTAAAGAGACGTCTCCCGAATGCTTCAGTTTATCAGCAGATAAATGCTGGTCTGAGTGACTTTGAGCTTTGAGCTTTGAATGAAATATATTATTTGAACGACCAGAGAAACCAATAGACTTCTAGTGCAGAAAGAGATGAAGCAAGGAATTATGTAAATATAGTTGAGCTATTTTAGCTGCTTGTACAATTTCGCTATATTTCTCTATGCCGCTTTCCCTATAAATTTAGATAATAATCTTCCTTTCGTTAGTCTGAAATTTTTGGAAATTTGGATTGCCCAGCAAGGGCAAAAAAGCTTTAGAAAAGGTGAGTTTAAAGAAAATTTCTTCCTTTATCAAAAGAAAGTTTCTAAAAATTTAGCAACTCACATTGTCTCTAGTTGCTCTATTTATATAAGAGCTAAAGCTTGAAAATTAGATAAATACTTGTCTTATAAATATATAAGTCGATTGAATCGAATTATTCTGCAAAATTCTCTCTATAACACCAGACCAAAGCCAACTTTCGTTGTTCGTTGTGAAAAGTAGTCTGCAACCCGTGTAGAATGAGCGCTCAGAAAGCGACTTAAATTTAGAAATCTACTGAAAAATTATCTGCAAAAGCGGTTTCATTCATCAGGTCCCCATATTCTCTTAACAAATATTTTTACTAATTTAGTCAAAAAACTCATCTCTCTGGATGCTCTAGTTTCAAAGTCGCAGTTTCAGGAACTTTCACTTTTTAAGAACTTTCAAAATTGGGTTGAAAAACTTGGCGCTATAAAATTGAGCATTCAATTGAAGCATTTGTAAAACAATATTCTCAAACCCGATTAAATCGCAAATTATTTCTTTAATTAAAATGTTCATGTATAAAGCCAGATTAAAGACTGATTTCCATTTGTTCTAGTTTGGAAGAAACTGAGTGTCAAAAATGAGTTAAACGTGTAGAAAGTGACGATCAGAATGCGGCTCAAATTTTAGAAATGTTAAAAAACTCTTCTCCAACTCAATCCCAATGTAACTTTTTGCAGTTCGGCGAAAGAAAAAACTCTATAATCTGAGCAAAAAATCATCACCCTATTGGCCTCAGTTTTGCAGTAGGAAAAGTATGAAAATTGAGTTACAGGACGGTTTGCAGCGAAGGATAAAACCGAAGCTAAATTAGAAATTTTGATTGACCAAATTGACCAAAACCATTGTTGTTGATTTATTTATAAAACGTGCAATAAATGACGGTCAGGAAACGAATTAAATTAAAAAAATTTTAAAAAACCTGCAAAAGCTATCAGAACCAGAACCTGAAATTGAATTACTGTTGCGAAATTTCTTTATTGAAAAATAATTGTCTGTTTGAAGCCCGACCAAAGACATTTTTCTACTTCCTTTTTCTATTCTGAAAAGAATTGAGTATCGAAAATTAGCCCGTTCAAGGTGTAGAAAGAAATCTTTTGAAAGGACAATTTTCACATGGTTTTCTGTAGTTCTAAAAGATGAATTATCTATAATATAAAGACACATTTGTCATGTTATCTGCTCTAGTGCTACTAAAAAATGTTGATTTTAGAGTTGCGGAACTGTTTAGAGAAAATAATAAAACACACATTTCGTAATAATCCTGAAGAACTATTTGTTATAGTTTGGGTTTTATTGTATGTCGACTAATCTGGAAAGAGTGTCAGGTAGAGTGCAATGAGTCACAATCAGGAAACGACTTAAATTTTGCACATTTTTTAAAAATCGCCTACAATGTCGATTTTAATGTATATTGCTCCTGTTAGAAGCGACTTTGCATTATAATCTAACGTAACAGTCGTCTCTCTAACTGCTCTAGTTTTAGAGTCACTACAACTTAAAAATTCAGTGTAGGTCTGTTTAAAGCGAAGATGAAACCGTTCGAATACCTGAAACCTATATTTGTAAAAGTACTTCAAGTTCACTTTAAAAAAAATTGTCATCAAATTTAGAAAATTATGTTTTCTGTAAAATCAGATATAAAGCATCACTGCGCTTGTTCTCATTTTGGAGTTAATGTGGGTCAAAAAACGCAGAAAAACATGTTAAATGTGTAAAACTCCCCACAAACCTGCTGCTAAGATTATTTCAATTGCAATCTATCTACTTTCAAGCAAGTTTTTTGAAAATGAATCTCTTTAACTGCTATAGGTTTACATCTGAAGAGTAATCTATTGCAACCCTGTTTAAAACGACGGATAAAACCACCACTGAAGATGCACTTGTCTCGCTCTAACAAAATCTATTTAATTAACATGAAGCATTTTAATGAAAACATATAGAACAAAGAGTGAAACTTCGCTGGATTTAGGTGGAAAATGTCACGCCACATTGCATTCAAATATTGCCTCACCAATCATAGACTGAAATATCGACCATTACTATTATTATAAATGGCAACGAGACAGAACAAGACAATAAATACAAACAATTGTTTTAAATTTAAATGAATTCGGCGAGTTGAACTGTGTTCGAGAATGGCACTCACATATCCGTTTCGGTCTTCAAAAAATTTGATTTAATTTGCCAACAAATTTCTTCAGTTAATCAGAGCTTAATACTTGAACAACCAGATGCGACTTAGAGCAAGCAATTGCACTTCACAGATTTTTTCAGTTCGGAACCTGAATTCTGGGACGTAGCATTCATAGGCGAAACCCCACAAAATAATAACAACATAATTATTGACTAGGCAGCAAATAATCGTCTCAGGAGTAAAATTAGCTATAAATTATCGAAAATTGATTGGCGTAGGATGTTTTTTTTTCAAGGAGGGCCCACTCACATATAAAAGGTTAAGGTAAGCAATCGGATCGACATAAACTATGCCATTTTTGGGGCCGTATCATGTCGATTATGTTATCTGATATGATGGGGGGAGAAAACGACGACGATAACAGTGAACTTAGTGAACACGCCCGATTTTTATGCAAAGGTAAGCACACATTGCTAGATTTGTAAAAAGCTCCAAATGCAATGGATTAGCCACATTTAGAACAGGGTAATCAACCCTGTTGAAAGATAACGGTTACATTCCCGTTTTAGGTGCCTTTCTCCTAACTCCATCTCACGATCTGAGCCTGGATAAAGCGGCCAACATTTGCGACAAGCTGAACTTCCGAGGCAGCTTCAGCTTGACCAAAACCGCCACTGGAATCCTGTTCAAATTCTCCGAACCGGACGACTACCAGCAAGTGTTCCGCAAAGGCTTTCACAAGGTACCAAAAAAAAAATTGCTATCTGCACCCCAAACTTAGACCAATTTGAAAGGAACAAAATCGTCTGAACAAGACACCTTCGATCCGATTCAGGCTCCGTTCGGAATCCAATAATTCGGCCCGACAATAGGACGAAACAAACTTCTCGGGACGCGTTCCCGACCGATTTAGAAAACTTCGAGGAAATATCGAACTTTCGATAATTTTCCGCGTCCCTAAAACATGGAAAACCCACTTCGGAAACTCGGTGCGAAGTTTTGAAGTCGAAAGTTTAAACAATATCGCGATGCAATTTCTTGCAAATGCCCCTGCGGATGACTTTAAATTTACTCTGAGGGCACCATTTATTACTTGATGGGACTGATAAGATTTTCGAGTTTTTGATAAAACCGATTTCGGAGAATCAGTTTGTCCAATATCCAATGCTAGCTAAAGTGTGTATTTAGAGAAATACTTCTCCAAAAAAATGTATTTAGCTGGAAGAAAGTTTGCTTTTAGTTGCTTCAAATGCGTGAATAAATTCAAAGCATTTTAATTAATTTTGGTGGTTTTTTTCAGGTCACTGGTGGGCGATTGTATAGAAAAGTGGCAATCCCTTGTCGCCCTCAAAAAACCTTCTCGTTACTCGTCAACGAAGTTCCAATTGATTTACCAGAAGACGATATTAGAGCCAGTTTGTATAGATTTTCTTCGGTGGTAAGTGATCTTTTACAAAATAACACACTCACTTTTTAAATGTTTAAAAAGTACAGCCCCACTAGAGAAATGCTTTGCTCTTCAATATTCCGACAGAATTGATCTTGGAATCAACCATAAATCAAAAATTTAAAAACGCAAATATCAATTGCTCTAAACTCATCTGGTGAGAAAAAACACATTTGCAAGTGATCAACTGCTAGTTCCTAACACCATTAAAACCCATTTTGTTTAAAATACTTTTTCAAGCTACTTACTAGATCGGTCCATTGAGGAGTTTTTAAGTTGTTTGTCAAACTTTCGAAAAATATTTTTCTTGAATTGGGAAAGAAACTAGAATTTTCGAACTTTTAAGAACTTGGTAACCAACTCAGAAGGTTTTATCAGTGAAGAAAATACGCAAACATTCATCTATTTTTGCTACCATCTCGTTCTAAAGCACGCGAAATTGACGAACTGTTTTGTTGCGAGTGCACGTTTTTTCGTAGCGTACTAATAGAATTAAATAATATGAAATTTGCATAGCAAAGATAAATTCTATCAAACACCTGCAAATCAAATGCCATTGCGGAAAGCAAACGTTAAAATTCCAACGTTCCCCTTTTTAAATGTTTAAAAAGTACAGCCGCACTAGAGGAATGCTTTGCTCTTGAATATTCCGACAGAATAGATGTTCGAATCAACCATAAATCAAAAACTTAAAAACGCAAATATCAATTTCTCTAAACTCATCTGGTGAGAAAAAACACGTTTGCAAGTGATCAACTGCTAGTTTCTAACACCATTAAAACCCATTTTGTTTAAAATACTTTTTCAAGCTACTTACCCTCAGCACTAAATCAACGTTTCAGCCCCCTTAGTGAAGAATATACTCAGAGGCCATTTCTGTTCCTCGGTATATGTAGTTGATTTCCTGTAACAGAAATGAGTGGGTTTAGCATCAGTTGAATGATCACCAGATATGAATTTTAAATAAAACAATAAATTTAACTAGTGTTTTATGGACGAATACAATTGGTTAATGTCGGGATTTAACATATAAAGGGGGCGATTTTAAAGCCAATAAAATCCTCTTCCTATCGATTTTGAGCTCCTTGGCACCCATGTGCCGATTACTGAGGAATAATGCCGCCAATCGCATACGCGATTCGCATTCTGGCAACGATTCCGTTTCAGGAAATCAAATACAATAACATGGAACGTGTTTAAATCCGCTGGCACGTGTCGGCGATATGGATTTTTGCATATCCAAATCCTATTTACCGTTCGAACGCTCTTAAAACATAAACAGACCTCGTCAGACATAAGTGCGTTTCTCGGTTTGAACGTGTTCTGACAAGCAATTTACTTCGAGCCTCGATGTTATGCGAATTGAGGTGAAATTTTCAGACTTCAGCGTGAATTACCTTTATCCCCAAAGTCAAAATTTTGGCAAATTAATGATTTTTGCAGGTTGAAGTAACCAGACTGCAGTCGCGTCTGGATCAACCGGCAGGAACTCCTAATCCAATTCGAGTGACTGTGGCTTCACTAGACGAATTCAACACTCTTCTCCAGCAAGGGCTGGACTTTTACGGAGCGACTTACTTTCCTACCGAGCCTCTGAAGAAGGACATGCTAAAGGGAAGCAAAGAAGGTAAGTCGCAAATAGACGATCTTGGCCAACGATTTGGTAGTGTCCAATTCAATTTCAGGTCTTCTGCCCGTCTTTGATTCGGCTGGCTTTTCCAGAATACCTCCGCCGCCCAGCCGAACTTTGAAGCCACGCTCTTAAGCCATCTAGAACCCAATTCTTAAGCAATTTCCGCCCTTAACATTCGCGTTAGTCTAATACATGCATGTGTTGTAGCGTCTAATTCTAATCAGATGTTGTTCGAACTGAACTTTCAATAAAACTTTCACGATTCTCCTGCCTAAACATGAATTGCACGACATCCACTTAGCCATGATCGATACAAGCAAAGAAATGAAGATATGTCATCATATTTTCCTGCAGCGTATGGCGTAGCCAATATCAGCTCGACGGAATCTTTTAATCCATTTAACAAGGCCATAAATTCCGGGAAATTATGGGGTCCACTTCCGAGTGCCGTTATTCTTGTCAATTTATTTCAAAAATTTTTAATCCGAATTAGGAATACGATCGGCAAACGTACGCTTTGATTACAGTTATACCGGGTGTAGACGAGTGAGAGCACGCCAAGTAGAAACTTGCATTATCGTGCTGAGATTTTCATATTTGGAGGATTTAATAAGAAAGTTTGTCTAAGTCACAGAAAAAAATAGCCTTGACTAAATCACATTAACTCAAGCGAATAACAGTACGGAAAACACTGAAAATTATTTAATTTTTTAAATAAAAACTGTACTTTTCAGCGCAAAAAGCCAAAGGGCTTTTTTGCTGTCAACAAAATCAAAAATTTTAAAAATATTTTTGTTTGCAGAAAAACCACAACAGAGTTAATTTTTGCTTGCATGCTGAATATCGTGGTAATTTTCTCGGACATGTTAAGCGATTTTCATTTTTTCAAGCAAAAACTGTAAAACTCAAAAAAGCTTTTTGGTTCTTAACTGCATATAGAAATATTCTGTATATATTCTAAAAAAATATTTTTAGCTGCAAAACTATCGGGGTACACCGTTTATTTTTTTAAATTATCAAAAGCTAAATAGAGCGTTCATTTGTTCGGGCAACGCAACGGATTTTATTTTGTTAATAAAAATTTGTGCATTTCAGCAAAAAACGCAAAAGAGCTTTTTTGTTCCCCACGGAATCCAAAATTATAAAATAATTTTGTATGCAGAAAAACCAATGGCGTGCACCCTTATTCCGGTTGCAAAATCTCACATGTTAAATGCGTTAATTTTCTCGGATAATCCAAGTTTCCATTTTTTAATCAGCCCTGTGTATGTTAGCGAAAAACTCAAAAGAGCTTGTTGGTTCCCAATTGCAGGTAGAATGAATTGCCAAATAAATTTTGTTTGCAGAAAAAACATCGGGGTTCATCGTCTTTTTTTTTAAGTATCAAATGCTAAATATTAATTTTTTTCCGGACATTGTATCGGTATTAATTTTATTAATAAAAAATTGTACATTTCAGCTTTAAAAACAAAATGGCTTTTTTATTCCCCACGAAATCCAAAATTAGAAAATAATTTTGTATGCAGAAAAACCAATGGCGTGCACCCTTTTTCCGGCTGCAAAATCTCACATGTTAAATGCGTTAATTTTCTCGGACAATCCAAGTTTCCATTTTTTGATCAGACACTGTGCATGTTAGCGAAAAAACCCAAACGAGCTCTTTTCTTCACAATTGCACGTACAAATGGACAATAATTTTTGTCTGCTTAAAAACGATTGGGACCGGGGATTGACCGTTTTTTAATGGAAAATATCAAATGCTAAATACATGGTTCATTTTTTCAGACAACGCAATAATTTTAATTTTGTTAATAAAAAAAACTGTGCATTCAAGCAAAATAAAAAACCTGAAGAGCTCGTTTATTCTCCACGGAATTTAAATAATAAAAAAGAGAAATCATTGGCGTTCACCATTATTTTTAGAAATTTTCAAATAGTAAATAAAGCGTTAATTTTCTGCAACATTGCAACAATTAATTTTTTTTAAAACAGACACTGTACATTTTAGCAAAAAACCAAAGAGCTTTTTGCTCCCCACTGCATGTAGAATTAGACCGTAATTTAAATTATTTTATTACCGTTAATTTAAACATTAAAGTCTAAGGGCCTTAGATTTTTAAGTTTAAACTTCTTCTCATACTATCAGCCTCTTTAAATTATTCAATTGGTATTTTTTGCGCCCAAAACTTGTAAAGGACAAAAGCACTACTTCATAACCGTACTTCACAATATCAGTTTTCGGTTGAAGTTGATAAAGCGGTGCTGTGCCTGGTTCTGGTTTTTTGTAATTTTTGTAATTCATTAAGTGAAAATAGTGATGTTCAATGAAGCAAATCGATTATCCCAGCTATAAGTATTTGTTATTGCGCCTCCAACTAAGGAAACGAAAACAGTCAGCAATTCTTCCCCGCTCACAATTATGTAACCCGACTAATCCAATTAAGCCGCTATTAATGAACTGGAATTGATCGCTCCTACATTGCCTCATACCACCCAGGAAAATATCAATTGGATTTAATCAAACCAAAAAAACAAAATAGAATGGCAAAGTCCAAATCGTCTTCGAGGGAAAATATTGCAGTAAAATTGTTTTCTTAACAATTATCCCCATTTTCCATTAATTTCCACCTCGCGTCCATCGCGTGTCTCACCGCACCCCTTGTCACCCCGACATCCTGAGGGCGCACCCAGTGGCGCTCCCATGGCTTCCGTGGCCGCTCCTTCCATTAACTAATTCCCCAGGTGGGGCCCGACTGGCTATAAGAACAGTGCCGTTCGTGCAAATGGTAAACATCGACATTTAATGCCATTTCTTTGAACTGGGATAAGTGGAAAAATTATCGGCAAAAAAGGACGTTCTATTGTTCCAACAAGCATCAACTGTTTGAAGAAGTTAAGTGAGACATTAACAATTTGCTTCAATGTGAGAAGCTCTGGCTCTGGAATTCCCATAGTTTCTCTATTAACCGCTTCTATATTTAAAATCTCAAAAAATATCTCTATCTCCATTATCAATCAAGCATAATTAATATGATGATAGACACACGCGTTTGTCTTCACATTGAGCTTCATCTTCACAAGAAGCACTTGCTTGCAGGAAAACACCGTGCTTAACCTTTAGCTGCGCGAAATTTCTAACAAAGATCGGTGAAAACGAAAACAAAAACCCAAGTAAAACTGAGCGTTTAAGTGGAAGAGTGATCAATCAACTTCCTCAGGCATCATCAACGTTAAAAACTTCATAAATGAGTGAGGAAGATAAGGAATAATTTCGATGTTTTGAATGCTAATGTTTCTCACAACCTTTAACGATGTACTAACAAGTAGTTTACAATATCGATCATTACCTGTTCGCATATTTGCGAAATAGCGGCAAAAGCTATTTGGATGAAAATTGCAGAACAGCTAGTAAGAAAATTCCGTTTTCAAACATTAAGGAGCTCGAACCTAATTACGTAATTTGCTCGTTTACACGTTGTGTATATGGGATGGCTCAGTCTTCACCTATGACTCCGGTTAATTATCGATGATCGCATTATTTTGGTTGTTTACTGGTTATTACTCTATCATCGTTGCTTCGTTAAGCATCAACGCAGGAAGTGAGCTTGTTTTATTCTTCAGGTCGTAACTTGGAGTAAAGGAGCGCTCTGATAAGTTTCGACTCGAAAATATACTTTACCGACACTCAGAAACGATAAACTACATTTTTAAGGGAAAACCTTAAGAAACGAAGCTCTGGCGCTTAAATAAAGAAAAGCTCTTATACAGGGAGCTGAGGGTTACTTCATAATATTTAATGAAAATTAGGAGATTTTCACTTGACATTTGCTAGAAACAATCTACAAACAACTGATGGGCTTGTATAGCTTCACAAAGCATTATTTTGTTTGCGGTTGTTTTACAACCATCAACGTACTGTTAACTGCAGTCACTGACCCAAAAATAGTCAATTTTCTAGTCTAAGTAAGTTACTTTAATGGCAAAGGTTCCATTGTAATAATGTTGGAGTCGACTTTTTCGCGTTTAAATTAGTTTGCAGTTATTACATCGCAAATGAGTTTAAATATAAATGCGTTTTGCATTTGAAAATTGAATCTCCCCACGAAGTAAAAATGGCCATCCTAAGATTACCCTCCCGCTTTTCGATTAAAAACACAACCGAATTAAAACGGGATTTGCTGGATGATTATGAGGAATATTTTTAGAAGGAAATTTGCAAAATAAAATTTAAACCTATTTAGTTTCCGATTTTTCATATAAAATCTTCACAATTAGAGTACAATAAATTCTATATACGAATAAAGACCTTTTCTAATTGTTATTTGCAATTAAAGTTCTATTAAATCAGACAGTTTTTAAAATATGGTTTTGCCGACGAATGCACGAAGAAAAGGAGAATTCTTAATTGTAATGAAAACAACATAACAAGTATAAAAATGTGAAACAATATCAATTAATTAACATTTCTCTGTGGCATTTTCAACCTATAAAAACTATTTTCTCGAAACTTTCCAACCTAAATAGAAATTACATTGCTGTTTAAAACTGCATTTATCTTTCTTTTCTGGATTTATCCAGTTGAGACTCATTTTTTTACTAACAAACAAACTGCGAATAAATCGTTAAAACGACGAAATAATTCCAAGGCAGATTAAAAAACGAGATGACAATTTTGAAACCGATAAAATTAAGGCTGAATGACTCTTGGCGAAGGTTCAGTACCATTAAATCGGATGCAATTTCCACCGTTATGAAAACATTTATGATCTCGTGAGTGGCGTTATTAGTGAGATACGAAAATCCCGCTCGGAATTAATAAATCCCTCGGGAGTCTTTGTCAGGTTGAGGCAAGTTTCGAACTTTTAATGCGGGCAAGCGGCATTGTAACAGAAAATTTAATATTGCCACGGTCGGAATTTGATACTATGATTGTTTTGGGAATATACTCAGGAGATACTGTCGGCCGTTAGTTTGGCTGATTACGAACAGAAAGTTCCGCGATGTTTGGAAAACCAGAGGGAAAATCGAGAAAAACTTCATTAAAACCCTGCTATATAGAATAATATCATGCGCCGTATATAACCCTGTTTTACTTTGAACTGAACATGTAGTAAGTAATCGAATTTGTAAAATATATTTGAGTTTTAATCATTCAAAAACAACGTCTATGGGGGATAAACCATTTTCAAACCGATCGTTAACCAAAAATAAATAGCAAAAAAGGACCGCTCAGCCTGCCGGATTATCCCTTTTGATTAAAACTTT